CAGTGCAGGCAGCTTTGGGACCACTCGCTTACGTTACCCGTGGTGACACCACCGTACTAGGACTGACTCACCCGGGACCTGTATCGGCAGGTTTATCGCTGTTTCAATCCCCCTGAACTACAACCGGCGACAAATCGACCTGCGGCAGTTGATCCTTATCTCCACCACCTGGATATTCGCCTTTGCTGTAGCATCCCCAGTCATATTTGGTCTCAACAACGTCCCAAACCGGGACCCCAGCTTGTGTCAGCTGGAGGATGACAACTACATCGTGTACTCCTCCATCTGCTCCTTCTTCATCCCTTGCCCCGTCATGCTGGTGCTCTACTGCGCCATGTTCCAAGGGCTCAAGCGCTGGGAAGAGGCCAGGAAAGCCAAGCTACGGGGCGGCATCTACGGGGCCGACAGGAAGCTCTATCACCCCTCAACCTTTATTGAGCGAGAGCAGCCGGGACTGGAGGCAGAGGAGTGCAGCCCTTACGCCCGCTCTGCCCACCCTGGGGACTGTGTGACGGACAATGGGATCCAGACTGTCTCCTACCCACACCTCAAGTACCCACACCCCGGACACAGTCGGAAGCGGGCCAAGATCAACGGCCGGGAGCGGAAGGCCATGCGGGTGCTGCCTGTCGTCGTCGGTGAGTAGCGGTCGGGGAAGGGCGGGGAACGTGCTGCCTTGTCCCACAGCGGGGCTCGGTCTGGCGGGACGTGTTTGAACGGGGCGAAGTGAACACAGGCTTTGTGGACTCCCCTTCCAGGAGCCACGCTGCCCAGGCACGGGTGCTTGGGCAGCGACAGGAGGTGTCGTGCTGAGAACCTTACTTTGTCCTTGCTGGAGGAGGGGAGGGTGAGCTAAAAGCCACCTCCCGCTTGCTCCACCTCCGCAGTGCTGTGTCTCTGGTCTTCCTCCCTCTCCGTCATGAGTGGACTTGTTTTAACACCCACCCTCCCCTTGTTCCTGCGGAACAGCCCGCTTGTGGCTTAAGACCTGCTGTACCCACCTCTCATCCTGAGAGGGTGTTTATCCGGTGACAACCTCGCTATCCCTTTGAGTAGTGCCAACAACCACCGCCCTTGGGAAAGAACGTATGTACGGGGCTTATAATCCAACCTTTTCTTCAAAGTAAACCTGTGACTCCTGCTATCTCGCATGCGAATCCAAAATGATACATGACTTAGACTTTTCACCAACGTTTAGGACAAGAAAGACATCCTAAATTTTTTGTCTGGGCGTAAGCCCAGCTCTACCTGTCAGCACATCTGCTGCTTTTTCCCCTAAGTGCTCTGAGCTGTCTCCATTCTTGTTTGGCCCAGGCTGCGTTTGTTAAATTAAACCCTTTTTAACATTCACATCACTTTCTCTCTTTAATGTCCTTCTGGCAGGTGCTTTCCTCTTCTGCTGGACACCTTTTTTTGTGGTCCACATTACCAGGGCTCTCTGCAAGTCCTGCACCATTCCCACTCAAGTCACCAGCACTGTCACTTGGCTGGGTTACGTCAACAGTGCTCTCAACCCCATCATTTATACCGTTTTCAACGCGGAGTTCAGGAACTTCTTCCGCAAAGTCTTGCACCTCTTCTGCTGAGCCCACCAGATCTGGCGGGGAGAAGGAACGACCCGGCTGGTTTTTTGTATAGTTCATTAAAGATCTATTTCTGCCTAAGGTCTGCTGTCTTTGTTGGGGAGGAGGGAAGGAGGAGAGACGGCAGCTAAAGGACGCTGGTTCCCAGCCCTTTGCAGTAAGGAGTTACAGGTGAGTAACAGTGGGCGCAGCTCACATACTCTCCCCCCTGGAGACTGCAGGCGCAGCCACTTTTTTAACACTTGGTGCTGGACATAAGCGGCAAGAGCTGCCACCAGACAGCAGGGATGGTTCTCAGAACAGCTCTTGCTTTGGATGTAGGTGTTTGGCCTGGCTTGGGCTTCTCTTAGCTGTCGCTAAGTGAAGTAAAAACGCCCCTCATCCCCGCTGTGATGCAGGGAGGCAGGCGAGCTGTGAGGCGTGCAGCGACTCTGGCCTGGAGTCGCAGGCAGATTCCCTGCACGGGTGGAATCCTCCCAGCTCCCTCTCAAGGAGCGTTACTGAAGGAGCCCAGCCTGGCAACGGCCCATCTCCGCCGGTTCCATGTGATTTAAACCACGAGGACAAAGCAAGCTCGTCAGCGCGGAGCAGAATCGAGCCCTGCTGAGGCACGCTAGGACACGTGAGGGCTCTCCCAGAGCTGGGCTGCCTCCTTCGCCCCGGCAAAGCCCCCGGGGGTGCAGGAAAGGGCAGGCGCAGTAATTCATCCCTCTTCGGCCCACTTCAGTTCAGAAGTGGCGCTGGGCAGAGCTTTAGCCTGGCACAGATTGATGAGGATCATAAATTACACGGGGTTTTTTGCATCGTTTTACTCACAAGCCCGGCTGGCCTGGGCAGGGCCCCACGTGCTGCTGTCAGCGGGCTCGGGGCCCGCAGGGACTCTCTGGCTGCCGGGGTGGCATTAGCCGGGCTGTGAGGCAACGCGGACAGGAGGCTGGGGGAAAAGGCTGTTACGCTCATTTCCCAGACGTTCACGTGCCAGATGAGGGTGTATCTACCTGTGCAACCTCCTTTCCCCTCACCCTTGATAGTTTTAAATCCAAAGACTGCTTTTACTCGTGTTTGACAAGGGGACATTAAGGTCCTAGAAAAACACCAACCCCCCAAAAATGGCCCTGTCCAGTATTCCTAATGCGCACGGGGCAGGCCCTGGCTGAGAAATGCCAACACCTGCTCCGAGATGCCAGCGCTAAGGGGGGCTCGGCCTGAAGCAGCGGCGCTGCTCCCTGCCTGTCCTTCCCCGGGCTGAAGGACCAGCTCGGAGATCTGGCTGAAGGGCCAGCTCGGAGATCTGGCGCGCACACCGAGCTCCACCGTGGCACCGCTGTGCTCAGAGCTTTGCGCCTGCTGGAGGCCGCGGCTGAGGCCGCTCGCCAAAAACAAACGGGCACTGGAGCCCAGCGGCAGCGTGAGATGTTCGATGTCCTCTGCTGTTCTGTTTAGTCAGGACCTTAATGGGCAACAGATGGAGGCAAGAAACCCTGTAAATTAGCTGTATTACTGTGGGCTCAATTAAGACCATCTTTTCAATTAACGAATTGTCTTTAAGCTTTAGAAAACAGGCAATCATAATTAAACAGTGTGAGAAGAAACGATCACAAATACTGACGTATTACTCTTGGAAGCAGGAGGAGTGAGCATTTTGCTACAGGAATCTACGGAATCGGCTGTTCTTCCCTTCCCAGGAGTTTCACAAGGGTAATTTCTGTTCTCATCCTGCTTCAGTTCGTGCCTGGCGTTCCCTTCGGGAACGGCTTCCTTCAGAAGAGGCCGGCAGGCTGCTGCCTTCCCTCCGCCGACGCCAATTCCTTGCCCTCGGTGGGCATGTCAGCGGCGCTGCCTGCCTTGCCCACTGAGCTCCGCATTAGGAGCGGCAGCTCTTCCAGAAAACAGCCA